ACCACAACACCAAACTGTGTATTTTCTTTTTCTGTGCTTTGCAGGGGTTTTTTATATATATAAATGAACTGGGCTTCTTTAATGTGTCAAAAGTTAGTGTGGCAGGTCTTTTTCCCATTACGTATAAAGTTCTAAATAAGAAATCCTGTTGCAGTCGCTTGAGACTTGAACCCGGGGCCATGAATGAGCCCGACCCAGTTTGCCCCTGTTCATGATGTGGGTCAGTTAAGTTCAAGAGCCAGAGTGTTGGGTCATGACATGGTGGATCTGGGTTCACAGGAGGCTTGGAAGGTCTTCCGATGCCCTTTATCCTGTCACATATTCAAGCTAACAGATCTTGCAAGATAGTTGTAAGCAGTGTTCCCTCTAAGCTGAGTTATTGTGAGCTAGCTCACAGTTCTTTAGCCTCCAGCTCACACATTTCTGCCTTAGCACAGGAAGGATGGCTCCAGAGCAAATTAATGTATGCAGTAGCCAAATTGCTCGCTCACAATTTTAATGCCAGTAGCTCACAAAGTGGGATTTTTGCTCACAAGACTGCAAAGCTTAGAGGGAGCATTGGTTGTAAAGATGAAATATTTATAGGGGGGGATTCTTAGGAAAGGGATTAAGAATGTGTTAAGTCGCTCGCTTAACAAAGTAGTCGGAGAGTGATTCAGCAAAGATTCAGCTTTATTCATCAACTCGAACACAACTCCAACACGGATCAACATCTGATAGCCAGAAAAGCTTTAGCATTAAAGCTGTTCCCTTTTTAAACTCTCCCGGCTAATGTAGCCACGCCTTACTGTACACTACCAACCAATGAGATTGTTTACATAAGGACCAATCATCGACGTTCCCGCTCAGGGAGCTTGCTGACAAGTGATTGGTTGGTTCTCCCTGGGCTAGCATTGCGATTGGATGGATTTGGATCCTAGCCCAGGACGAAGCTTTACATGATACTTCAATGAGGTGATTCACATACACGTTATGCATTCAATGGCAGCTATTGAATACATTACAGAATGAAACAGCCAGTATTGTAGTGCCCCTGTATAGAACTATGGTGCAGCTTCATTTGGAATAGTGTGTCAGGTTCTGGTCACTGTATCTCAAAAAAGGACATTGCAGAGCTGGAAAAAATACAGAGGAGGGCAACCCAGAGGATATGGGGTTGGAACACCTTCCCTACAAGTAAAGGCTGAAGAGTCTGGGACTTTTCAGTTTAGAAAAGAGACAACTGAGGGGGAACATGATAGAGATTTGTTAAGTTATGCACGGGGTGGAGAGAGTTGACAAAGAACACTTTTCCTCCTTCTCCCAGAATACTACAACTCAAGGGCATCCAATGAAGCTGATGGGCAGTAGGTTCAGGATAGAGAAAAGGAAATACTGCTTTACACAGAGAGTGATGGAAATGTGGAATTCACTGCCAGAGGATGTAGTGACGGCCACAGGAATAAACAGCTTGGAAAGGGGATTAGATAGATCCTTGGAGGATCAGTCTATCAATGGCTACTAGCCCTGGTGACTGAGGGGAACCTCTGAATCCCAGAGACAGGAGGCAACATCAGGGGAAGGCCTCGGCCTCTCTGCCCTGTCGTTGGCCCTCCAGAGGAACTGATTGGCCACTGTGTGAGACTGGATGCTGGACTAGATGGGCCACTGGTCTGATCCAGCAGGGCTCTTTTTATGTTCTTATAAAGGCCTCGGCCTCTCTGCCCTGTTGTTGGCCCTCCAGAGGAACTGGTTGGCCACTGTGTGAGACTGGATGCTGGACTAGATGGGCCACTGGTCTGATCCAGCAGGGTTCTTCTTACGTTATGACTTGACGGCGATGATGGTGGTCGATTATAACTGATGTAAATTATAACTGATATAAATAAATAAATAATACCCAGCTGAGGCTCATCACCTCCGCAAACCCCACTGTACCCAGGGTTAAACCCTTAAATCTCCAGGAATTACCCAAGCCAGAACCCATAACCCTGGCAAGGCCTGGCCCCCACGTGTCCAACACACAGTATATTACAGTAGCTTAGCCTGGATGTCAGCATGGTGTGGATCCAGCCAGGGGATCTCTCGTTACACCACATGATAACCCCGTGTATTCGCTGTCCTGCAACACACACTCGACACTAGCGTCGGACCTCCCTCCATCCAGAGCTCCTGCCTTGTATTTCTGAGAGGTAGAAGAGTTAAATGATCCTTCATGGGAGCGTCAGGAGTTTGATGCAACTGTTGCGCAGGAATTCATGGAGCCAATTTATTTTATTTTTTATTTTATTTTTTAAATTTATATTCCGCCCTCCCCGAAGGCTTAGGGCGGCTCACAAGGGGCATAAATGCCAAAGTTAAAACAATAAAACAACACAAAACAGTATAAAATACAATAAATACAATTCACTAAAAATTCCTTCCACGGTGCTCCAAGGATATTTAACTACAGATTCAAGATGGGGTTCCAAGATAACTTATGCTAAGCAACAACAGTAATGATAATAATATACAGTAACAACAATATACGTCCCTACAGTGCTGTCATCTGCCAGGTGTTTCTTCACGTGTGTGCGAGGTGAAGCAACCTAATCCCGCTCAAGGGTTGACATGATTATGAGCAGACCTGCTCCGGCTTTCAGGTGTCCGTAGTTTGGATCATCCTGCTGATATCATCCCTATCTCTTTTAAGGCCGGATTAAAGAATGTGGTAATTGGTTAATTGTGAGAACCTGGGCTCAGTTGTGTAACCGGATGCCAGGTGGGAATTAGGAGTGGATGTTAACATCTTCTGGAAAGTTCCATTGAGGGAGAGTCCTGATTGGGCCCGAGAGACCACCTGGTGTCAGAGGACAAAGGACTATAAGGCTAGAGGACAGAGGGAAGCCATGCTAATGTTATGCTTGAGCCATGCCAGTATGCTTTGATATGTTCAGTTACATCATGATGGACTGCCACGTACAGAAAGCTTGAGGCTACAGCTTGGATTCTCATGCTGCAAGAAGGTGTGCCGTCTGATACCAGATACGAAATGTATTAGATAGAGAGCTGGCTTTTCAATTTCTCTGCTTCTGGCTCTAGAGACTCTACTGCATAGTGACATCCTTTTTTAAAGCTGTTCAATAAACCCTTATATATTTTTAGAAAGGTCTGCTTTATTGGTGTGCATTTAACCTTGAGGAGCCACAGGACTGGATACAGCTCAGGTGAGCAGCTGACCACTCTCACTCCTGCTGAGGATCCTCTTCGATCCGCTCCTTTCCTGCGTTGTAGCCGGAGTCTCACGTGTTTCTGAGGGGAAAGCGCCACTCCTTCACGACCCAATCCCGCACCTCTAAGTGAAAAAAGTCTCTCCTGAGGCTGTAACAGGGTTTGAACCATGTGGTGCTGTTGATTATGTTTTGGCTAATCACTAAACTTTTCTCTTTCTTTTTTTGGATATTGGAGCTGCGGTGGCTCAAGTGGTTAAGACGCTGAACTGCAGGCTGTGGAAGGTCGGTAGTTCAGCAGTTCGAGACCCGAGTGTGCCGCATGGCGGAGTGAGCTCCCATCTCTAGTTCCAGCTCCTGCCAACCTAGCAGTTCGAAAGCAAGAAATTGCAAGTAGATAAATAGGGACCACTTCAGTGGGAAGGTAACAGTGTTCCGTGAGCCTTGGTGTTTAGTCATGCCGGCCACATGACCACGGAAACGTCTTCGGACAGCGCTGGCTCTTCGGCTTTGAAACGGAGATGAGCATCGCAACCCTAGAGTCGGACTCGACTGGCTTTCGAGCAAGGGAACCTTTACTTTTAAAGATATTACAAACAGAGGTATAACACCTCTTTTTTCAGTTTGGGGATCTTCATTTATAATGTGTGGGGTTTTTTTTAAAGTATGTAGCACTTCCATCCATGGAATGAGGCCCTTGTGGGTTCTACCCAATGATTCCTCCATTCGTGGAGCTTCACACGGCTGGGGCGTCTGATGTCCTGCCTAGGATTCCCTATGAAGGCTTGCCTCTCAGTGCTTCTGCCTTCCAACACTGTCCTTAGACTTTTTCCGTATGCCAAACATCTGTGCGCTCCTCACAACCTGGAGTTGGATATTGAAATTATCTGTCATTTTGGACATGGTATTGTTTTTCTGATGAATTGTTTTAATATATTTTAATGTTGTTTTAATTTGCTTGTGTATTGTGTTTGCCTTCGATGTAAGTTGCCCTGAGCCCTGTTTCAGGGAAGGCCAGCGTAGCAAATTGAAATGAATGAACGAATGATGAGCAGGGTCTTCTAAATGCATGAAGATCCCCACCCCGGTATTGTCCTATTTCCACTTTCCTGGATTGCAGTGTGCCTAATGGGGAATTCCCCCCCTCCACCAATGTGTCGCCATAAAAGTATCTGTTTCTTCCTCTGAGCATGAAATGAATAAATTAAATAGTACTTGCCCCAATACCGATCCTTGTGCAACCCCATTGCTTACTTCCCTCCCTTGTGAGAACTGTCCACTGATTCCTACGTTTTGCTTCCTGTCATTTAACCAATTTTTAATCTATAGGAGAATCTATCCTTTTACGCCATGACTGCTAGGTTTACTCAAGAGTCTTTGGTGAGGTACCTTGTCCAAAGCCTGTTCAAAGTCCAGGTATATAATGACTACTGGGTCACTGTTGTCTACCTGCTTGTTCACTTTCTCCAAAAGGCTGGTGAGGCAGGATTTCCCTTTGAAGAAGCCATGCTGATTTTCCCTCAGCAAGCTCTGTCCCTCTATGTGCCTAACAATTCTCTCTTTCTTCTAGCCTGGGGTAGACGTTAGGCTGACTGGCCTGAAATTTCCTAGTTCCTCTCTGAATCCCATTTTAAAAACTGGTGTCGCATTTGCTACTCTCCAGTCTTCTGGAAGAGTGGCTGAATTCAGGGCCGGCCCACCCATTAGGCGAATTAGACTTTTGCCTAGGGCAGCTCCTGGGGAAGGGCGCCTGCCGCCCTCCCCCCACCCCCACCAAAAGCCCTGCTCACAACTCTCACGCTCCTGCTGCAGCCGGGAGCGCCGGCGTCCCCCAACGCGGGCAGCCCCAGTGCGCTTCCTCCCTCCCACCGCGGGAAGGCATCCGGGCTCGGCATTGCGGCAGAGAGGCACCTGGCAAAGTCCTCAGCCCGGCTGGGCAGCAGTCCGGGCTTCTCCGTGCCGCCCCAAGCTGGCCTTTGTGGGAGGCGGCAGCAGCCAGGCAGGGGGCGCGAATCCTGGCTGTCTGCCGGGGAGAGCGGGCTGGGGTGAGCCGGATTCCACTGGGGGGGCTTTTCTGCAGACAGTTGCAGCCCGGGATCCCTCACCATGCTGGCCGGCCGGCCTCTGCTTCCATCCCGAGGGCTAGGAGAAGCTGGGGGGGGGGGGAGATCAGGCGGCAGCAAAGTTTCTGCTTGGCTTTTAACCCCTCCTGCGTCACCCACTCCGCCTGGAGCAGAGCAGACGAGAAGGAGGGACCTTCCTTGGCCGATGCTCACCTGTTGGGGCAGCTGCTGTGACGCTACAGCACCCCTTTGCCTGTCTGGACGAGACAGCCCAGTTGCAGAGAACTGCCAGCAAGAGCACCAGGGTCCAGTGCTAAGCTGTGGAATCCTGTGAGCAAAAATTCTACTTTGTGAGCTATTGGCATTAAAGTTGTGAGTGAGTGATTTGGTTGCTGCATACATTAGTTGGAGGCTTAGAGGGAACACTGCTCTTCAGATGCAGCTAACATCTAGCAAGTGTTTTGGGTAGTACAGGAGACATAAGACCTCCCCCCCCCGAGAGGTAAATATGGGTTGCTGTATTATCTCTGGTGAAACAGGTCATACAGGTTTTCTCCACTGCTTCAAATTCTTGCAGGACATGCTTGATAACAGTGAAACAAAAGAAATGGATGTGCACCTCACCAGCCTTGTTACCTCTGTTGTTGCATCTTCAGTTGTAACATCTTGCAGTGAGACCTTGCTAAAAGCTATAGTACACAATACACACAACTCACCATTCAAAAGCTCTCAGTCTCTGTTTGGGCTTGGGCAAGGGAAAGCTTTTGGCTTCCTTCCTGCAGGATTTTGCCACCAGAAATGGTACCGGGGTGGGGGGCTGTCTGTCCCTTCCTCAGGCTCCATGTGCTATGGACACGTGCCAGAAGAAGGGGCAAATAGCCCCCCCCCCCCGACATCACTTCTGGTGGTAAAAATGCCATGGAAGGGAAGCCCAAAACCATTTTCTTCCCTGTGCCCCCTTGCAGTCAAACAGAGAAACAGAGCTTTTTAAAAGGTGAGACCCCGGTTGATCATATAACCATGTGAGGTAGTCAGTGGCTAGTAACCATGGTGACTAAAGGGAACCTCCACATTCAAAGGCAGTAAACCTCTGAAGCCCAGTGCCAGGAGACAACAGCAGGGGAAGGCCTTGGCCTCTGTGTCCTATTGTTGGACCTCCAGAGGAATTGGTTGGCTACTGCATGAGATGGGATGCTGGAGTAGATGGGCTACTGGCCTGATCCAGCAGGGTCCTTCTTGAGTTCTTATGAAGGCCTCGACTGCTATGCCCTGTTGTTGGACCACCAGATGAACTGGTTGGCCACTGTGTGAGACAAGAAGGACGCTGGACTAGATAACACCACAGGTCTGATCCAGCAGTTCCTTATGCATCCACCCAGTGTAGTGGTTAAGTGTGCGGACTCTAATCTGGGAGAACCGGGTTTGATTCCCCACTCTTCCACTTGTACCTGGCTGGATTACCTTGGGCAAGCCATAATTCTGGCACAGCTGTTCTTGAAAAAGAGCAGTTTCTGTCAGAGCTCTCTCAGCCCCACCTACCTCACAGGGTGTCTGTTGTGGGGAAGGGAAAGGAGTTTGTAAGCCACTCTGAGACACCTTTGAGTAGTGAAGGGTGGGGTATAAATCCAAAAAATCCAATCTCTTCTTCTTGTGATTCCTGAAGTCAGATTTGATTTAGGGTTTGACCTGTTTGCCCTATGCAGAGAACTAAAGGGCATTGTTGGCGTTTAATGACATATACAGTGTTAGAAGATGAGCAAGTGAAATGAGCCTGAGACGGCTTAGATTTTTTTTAATATATTTTAAAATATATTTCAACCTTCCAGGACATTCAGTGGGGGACCTCAAAGTACCTTTTTATTGCAAAGGGATCTCAGAAACAGTCTAGAACAGAAGATAGCTGAATTACAATTATTTTCATTTTGTAGAAACGTAACATGCAATTTCAAATATAACATATAACCATCGTATATATGTTATGTCCAGTTTAAATTGTTTTGCTCTAAATATACCATTCTAATATTGCGCCTTCCTATACATAAAATTAAAAAATATTCAAATAATCATACAGCTCAATCAGCTTTACATTGACTAGAAAAATTATTTTCCCTTGAATAAACAACGTCGAATATGTTGTCCGGTCCAGTGATTGTGTTGTCTGGGTGTCTGCGGCGGCAGAGTTGGCACCTGGGTTTCTTGCAAGCTCTGGTACCAGCCTCCATGTTCACAATAGAGGTTGCACTATTGTGGGTGAGAAGCTGTTTAAGACTGGGGGCTGTTTGGGGGCAAGAAAAGGTTTGCAGCACCCACCTCGGATGGGTGTGGGCGGGAGAGAGCTTGCATTTGAGGTCCTGCGTTTTCTCTCCACGGGCAAAACAGTTACTCAGACACGCTTGTCTGTGAAAAACACAGAATACTCTCATCATATGTAGCCCCCTCCCCCAACTGAGTTTTAGGGACCTGACACTGGGAGGATGCAAAAGGAACTCGGAGGAGAAGAAGGACCTGGGACCTTTATCTGAGCGGGTTAACAGCACGGCTTACCCCGGGAGTGCAGCCCGGTGCAGAGTTCCTCCAGAGCAGCCCCATTATTGAGCTGCATCTGGGGTGGCGGACGGCAGCCTGGCCGAAGCGCCTCCTGGAGAGGGCAGGGGAGAGTTTCCCTTCCTCTGCAGCACTGAAAGGGTTAAAGGCTACAGAGCCGGTTGCTAGCGGGGCCGAGCAAGGACGGGGGGGGCGGAAAAGAGGAAAGGCTCTTTTCCGGGAGGGAGGGAGGGAGGGGAGGTTTGCTTTTGAATGGCGAAAGAGAACTGGAGGGGCTTCGGGGACGCGAGAGCCGGGAAAAGCCTCGCCGCAGCCGGATCGCGGGCAGGTTTCCTTCGGAGTGAGTCGTCGCGAGGAGAAGCTTTGAGCTCTAGGGAGGGAGGGAGGCCAGGGTTGCCCGCAGCAGGACTGCAGAGATTCCTGGACATTTTTTTGGGGGGGGGATGTCTGTGCATTCTGGGGAAGGGCCGGCGGGGGGGGAGACCTCAGAGTGGAGCGAGGCCACCGAGTCCTTCCTCCCAGGGGACGGTCTCCTCCGGGGGAACTGATCTCTGTCTGCTGGAGGCCGGTTGTCATCCTGGGAGAACTTCAAGCCCCACCGGGAGGTTCAGGTAAAGTTAAAGGTTTCCCTTGCTCGAAAGCCAGTCGAGTCCGACTCTAGGGTTGCGGTGCTCATCTCCGTTTCAAAGCCGAAGAGCCAGCACTGTCCGAAGACATTTCCGTGGTCATGTGGCCGGCATGACTAAACACCAAGGCGCACGGAACGCTGTGACCTTTCCACCAAAGTGGTACCTATTTATCTACTTGCAATTTCTTGCTTTAGAACTGCTAGGTTGGGAGGAGCTGGAACTAGAGACAGCCTGCAGTTCAGCGTCTTAACCACTTGAGCCACCGCAAGAAGCTACTGTAAATTAATGTGTTCTGTTTATAACTCTCATTCTACAAAGTGCATTCTGTGCTATTATAACGTCTGTGTCAGGTACATACATATATTCAATCCATTCAGTATAACAACATTCAGTTCATTCAATTTAACAACTACCAGTCAACTATCTGCAGCAGTGTGTTGTGTGGAGGCACACGGCTGTTCCAACAGCATCGCCCTTGCCCCCATCACTCCACCGCTTGCTTGGCAGAGACAGCATAACACAATCCCAAATTGTCCTTTCTGAACTGGGGTTTGGGCGGGAGGAAGGGCCTCCTTTTGCCAGGAGAGAGAGGGGCAGGAGAGAGAAACACAAGGGCGCAGCCACACGGGTGGTGGGTTCAGGTTCCGCTAAGGAAGGTGCCAGCAAGAGTACAAAGCTCGCCTTTTGGTGTCCGGTGGGATGAAATGTGGTGACTCATTCATGCTGATTGGATGGCCCCAATGCCAAGCATTTTGGCTGATCCCCTCTGCCAACCCCATCTACCGTCTCCCTGAGGCAGGGATGCCAGGGTCCAGGAAGAGCCTGGAGACGGTCTCCAATCAAAACTGATCTCCAGACTGCAGAGCTCAGTTTGTGTGTTCAGGAAATGGCTGCTTTGAAGGGTGGACTCTGTGCCGTTAGCGCCTGCCCTCCCCAGGCTCCAGCCCCACATTTCCAGGAATTTCCGAAACGAGACTGGCAACCTTGTGCATTCGGCAGAGTTTGTTGTCTCCTCTGGCTCCGTCCCAGCAGCCCCTGGGTGGGCATATCTCCTGACACACTTCGTGGCCATCCAGAGTTGCTCAAGGGCTGGGCTTAGGCTTGTTCCCAAGAGAGGCTGGCCTCTGGAAGACGGTCCTTCTTCTGTCAGGGTGATTTTGGATGTGACGCTAGGGAAAACTGTGGTTCTTCTCTGGGTGAAGGACTTGGTATCTCTGCCCTGCTGCTTCTGTACTGTAAGAATTAGCCCCTAGGACAGACTGAGACAACGTTATGAGAGGCTAAGCTTTTGAACATCCTCAAAGAGCCAAACAGAGACACCTAACTTTCCCAAAGAACCATGGAGGCATATCTCAAACAGTTTGTAATATAGAAAAATGATCTTAAACCTGATCTACAAACCACAAGAAGCCCTTTTGTTCTGATCCACCAGGACAATTCTCTTGTGTCTCTTGAACTTATGAAGGTTTGCGATGTTCAGTGCTGTATCTCCATTCTCTTTTATTTTCCGTGTTACTGCCTGTGTCTCTCCTTCCCCCAGAGGGAAGCCTCTCTTGATAGTCAAGTGACTAAAGGCATCTTTCCACAGTCAGAGGTGACCCAAGAGAAGGGGAAAGAGATGGAAGAGGAGAACCCAAAAGGACCTGGAACTGGCAAGACAGCCAAGAACTGGGAAGACAGCCCCCATGCCACCCAAGCTGGGAGTGGTGTTGAATTCTGGGAAAGCCAGGTGCCAGATATCCATTATCAGCTCACTGCAATCTCAGACTCACATTGCAGACGCTTCCGGCAATTCCGCTACCATGAGGCCGATGGGCCCCGAGAGGTTTGCAGCCAGCTCCATGGACTTTGCCGCCAGTGGCTGATGCCGGAGAGGAGCACCAAGAAGCAGATTCTGGACCTGGTGATCCTGGAGCAGTTCCTGACCATCCTGCCCCCGGAAATGCAGTGCTGGGTGAAAGGATGTGGGCCGGAGACCAGTTCCCAGGCGGTGTCCCTGGCCGAAGGTTTCCTCCTGAGTCAGGCAGAGGAGAAGAGGCAGGCAGAACAGGTGAGGGGATTCCCTCCAAGTATGTCCAATCCAAGCAATGATATCTGGCCTTATCCTAAAGGTTCCCTGCCAGACATCTGTCCAAGTGTTAATCTTTCAAATGGGAGATTTCATGGCCTCCTTCAGCAGCCTCTTCTACTAGAGTATTTATTAGCCCTCCAGATAACTCAATAATTCTGCAGGTCTGCTGATGGAAGGGTGCAGAATCTGGGAGTGGGGCAGGATCCATTCTTTGGTCTCTTTTCCATTCCGTCTCTTACCCCTCTCCCTCGCTGCTGTTTCAGATGCGGGCACCATTCATGAAGACAGAAGCGACATTCGCTGAGGTGGAAGGAGCTTCCTTGGAGCAAGGGCAGAGGGCACAGGCCCAGGAGTGTGCCCAAGATGCCCTCTCCTGTGGTAAGGTGTCTTTGTGCCTGGGTGTGTTGGGTGCACCCCAGTGAGTTTGATTGGTAGAGAGTTCAGGTCAGGAAAAGAGTTAAATACGTCTTCAGACAACACAGAGTTAATTTGTGGCACTCAGTGTCCACTAATTGTGATTTCTCTCGAAGGGGAATGAGACAGATTCATGGAGGGCAATTTCCTCCCATTAATTTTAATATTCATATCTCACCTTCCTTCCATAAGAGGAGCTCAAGGTGGCTCAAAATAGGAAAGGTAGACAAACCTAGGCAGAGCGATTCAACCTGGGGAATCAAGGGGGCCTCTCCACCTCCTGGGGCAGCAGAGCTCTGAGAACCAGTTCCGAGGGCCCACAAATCATGGGAAGATCTGGCTTCTCTGCCCATGCTTATTGGGGCATCTGTTGGGCCACTGTTGGAAACCGGATGCTGGAGGAGGGGTGGCAGGCTGTGGACTGGCACCCCCAGGAACTTTGGGGTGGGTCTTGGGGCAGATGCGATGTCACGTTTTTGTTGCATCTGGCTGAAAATCTGGTTGTGAAGCAAGCATGCCAAGAGATGCTGTGAAAACCCATTCATATGACCCTCGAGTCTCCAGATGTGCTCAAGTAAGAATGTTTAAAAATATGTTGAGTGTACACAGGGAGGGTAATGTTTCAACTACCCTGGGAAGGGGGGGTGCGCGAAGCAGGGAAGAAACAAGCAAACACCCCTCCTTCCTCCTTTGTCTCAGGAACAGGCAGTGAAGAGATGCTGTTGAGCCATCGTCTTCTCAGAGGTGTGGAAACGGCTGCTGCACCTCCAGTCCAGGTAGGAGAGATGCGCAGGGGGCAGCCTGAGTCCCTCCTCCTTTCTCAGGGGGGCTTTTGCGCCTGCAGTTTCTACAATGCATCTGGGCGAGAGATCCTCTGAACACTGTTCCCCTTACCCACACCGTACCTTCCCAGACTACTCCCTTCCCGTGTGCAGTCTCTGATGAGAGAATCTGCCTTTTCTTCCAGTGTCCCTTTGCCTTTGAGGAGGTGTCCGTCTATTTCACTGAGGCAGAGTGGGCCCTGCTGGAGCCGGGACAAAGAGCTCTGTACAGGGAAGTCATGCTGGAGAACTGTGGGAATGTGGCCTTTCTGGGTAAGGAACTTTCATAGGTGCCAGAGGTGCATATTGATGCCACTGAGATGAGCCAGTTTGGTGTAGGGGTTAAATGCATGGACTCTAATCTGGGAGAACCGGATATTGATTCCCCACTCCTCCACTTGCAGCTGCTGGATGACCTTGGGCAAGCCATAGTTCTGTCGGAGCTGTCCTTGAAAAGAGCAGTCTTTGTCAGAGCTCTCTCAGCCCCACCTACCTCACAGGGTGTCTGTAAGCCGCTCTGAGACTCTGAGTGAAGGGTGGTGTATAAATCCAATCTCTTCTTCTCTTCAAAATATTGAATAGCGATACATCATTTTGAGGCCTTCCCCCCTACTTGGGGAGGGGCTGTGACTCACTGTCAGAGGATCTGCTTGGCATGCAGACGGTCCCAGGTTCGATCCCCAGCATCTCCAGTTAAAAGGATTATTGAGCAGGAGGCGATGTGAAAGACCTCCGCCTGAGACCCTGGTGAGCCACTGGTGGACTGAGTAGACAAGACTGACTTCAGAGCACCAAAGGTCTGATTCAGTACGAGGCAGCTTCCTGTGTTCATGTGTGTGGACGTTCCCAGGAGCAACTGAGGCCAGTATTGTGGCCATCACCCAAGCCAGAAGCACAGGGGATGAGAGGCCCTCAGAAAGACTCTGGAAGAGTCCAGATTTCCTCCTTTTTTTGTTGCCAATTTTTACCACACACCCTTCCCCCCTGGAGGGGATTACGAACATTCGCTATGTCTGTGTCGTGGAAATCATCCTGTCACGAACCCAAGCCTGAGTCCCCCTCGGGTCACCACTCTTTGTACCTGAGCAGGACCCAGTCCAGTGGGTTCACGAGGAGCGTGCACACAAGTAAAGCACACCCCTTTAAAAAATATATCAAAGTTTATTAAGGGTTTTAAAATAAGACAGCACTAAACAGGACAGTTCCTGCACCTCAGCAACAGAAAAACAAGAAAAGCTAACTGTTCTATCTAAGACATGAAACACTAGGTATTAGATGGCACCTCTTGTTGCAGCATAAGTATTCCAGCTGTAGCCTAAGTTACTCTACAGGAAACTATTCATCGTGATGAAGCAAGGAAATATCGAGGCATATTAGCAAGGCATGAGGATAAAGTTAGCATGGCTTCCCTCTGGTCTACCGGTATTATACTTTTTACCTCTCTCTATGGTCAGGCTGTGGAAGGTCGGTAGTTCAGCAGTTCGAGACCCGAGTGTGCCGCATGACGGAGTGAGCTCCCGTCTCTAGTTCCAGCTCCTGCCAACCTAGCAGTTCGAAAGCAAGAAATTGCAAGTAGAAAAATAGGTACCACTTAGGTGGGAAGGTAACAGCATTCTGTGCGCCTTGGTGTTTAGTCATGCCAGCCAAATAGCCACGGAAACGTCTTCAGACAGAGCTGGATCTTCGGCTTGGAAACGGAGATGAGCACCGCAACCCTAGAGTTGGACTTGACTGGCTTTTGAGCAAGGGAACCTTTACCTTTTAAGGTCAGGTGATCCTAATGACGCAATCAACAGTCCTCCTTGAGGGAATTTTCCAGAGGCTGTCAGCACCCCCCTAATTTGGTGTAGTGGCTAAGAGTGCAGACTCTGATCTGGGAGAACCAGGTTTGATTCCCCACTCTTCCATCTGCAGCTGCTGGTGTGACCTTGGGTCAGTCACAAGTTCTTTAAGAGCTGTTCTCTTAAGAGTAGTCCTCGAAAGAGTTCTCTCAGCCCCACCAACCTCACGGTGTGTCTCTTGTAGGGAAGGGAAAGGAGACTGTAAACCACTCTGAGGCTCCGAGTGAAGGGTGAGGTATAAATTCAATCTCCTCTTCTTCTAATTTCCTCTCAACTCATAGTTCCATAACTGAATATAGGTTCTCACAATTAACTGATTACCACATGGAGTCTGGCCTTGGAAAAGATAAGGATGTTAGCTGCAGGGAGACTCATATGACGAACACCAGAGAGTTGGACCAGGATCCTTAATAATGACATTAACCCTTGGTGGAACTAGGGTGCTCCGCCTCATCGGGTGGGATTGTGGGCTTTGATCTTGACCATGGTTCCATCCTTCCAGAAGAATTTTTAACCTTGGATTTATTTCCTTCCCCACATAAGAATGATCTCTCCCTCCCTCCCTTCCTTCCTTCCTCCCTCCGTCCCTCCCTCTCTCTCTCTCTCCCCCCCTCTTCCTCTGCGAAACAAGCCAGGAGTATAACAGAGACTTTGGTGGAGACAGGCAATGGCCTTGCATCCGAAGAAAGGCTGGAGAATTTCTCAAGAGGATCCCAAGAGGAGATTTCCTTCCTGTATGAGCTGGCTGAGAGTGAGTATCCTTCAGGGTTATGTCAAGGGAACAGGCAAGGAATACCATGGAGGGTTTCTGAGTCATTTCTGAGCCACATTTGGTTTGGAACCATCATGCAGCCTACTGGGTAAGGAAGGGAGGGCATGAAATCTGGTGGCTCAGAAACTCCTTCTGGGCAAGAGCTCAGCTGTGGCTCTTGAGTGGGTGAGGTATCCTTAAATATTAGATATAATGGGGAAAGGTTAGGTGGTTAGGATCAGCCAAGCTCAACGAGGCTAAAGGATCATCAGTCCTTTCCTATGGCAGTCACAAAGATGACTTTGGACCTTATCAGCCATCCCAGGTACTAACAAGATCTCTCTCTTCATTCCAGCAGAGGATGAGCAGAGGAATGAGGAGGGTGCGGAACTTCATCAGCACATGCCAGATAGAGTTAAAAATGAAGACTTGAAAGAAAAGGTCAGGAACAGAGGCAGACCTAAGAAAAAGAACGGTGGCCACAAGGTTGAGAAGAGAGATCAAAGAAAGTGTAGTGTACATTTTCCAAAGCGTGGGATAATGAAGGGAAGAAAATCCATTCAGTGTGGAAAGTACTTCAGAAATAGATCACAGCTCCTTGTGCACCAAAGAATACACCACAGAAGTGAGAAACCTTTTGAATGCTCAGATAGTGGAAGGACATTCAGTGAGAGGGGGAATCTTCAGCAGCATCGGAGAACTCACACACAGGAGAAACCCTTTGAATGCTCAGAGTGTGGAACGAAATGCAGTTGTAGTGGCGCTCTTCAACGGCACCAAACAATCCACACAGGGGAGAAACCGTTTGAATGCTCAGTGTGCGGGAAGAGATTTGGTCGGAGTGGCCATCTTCAATGGCATCTTAGAACTCACACAGGAGAGAAACCTTTTGAATGTGCAGAGTGTGGAAAGAGATTCAGTGGGAGTGGCGCTCTTCAATACCATCAAAGAATCCACACTGATGAGAAACCACTTCAATGCTCAGAGTGTGGAAAGACATTCAGGGGGAGTGGCAATCTTCAACGGCATCAGAGAACTCACACAGGGGAGAAACCTTTTGAATGCTCAGACTGTGGAAAGAGATTCAGTGGGAGTGGCGCTCTTCAATACCATCAAAGAATCCACACTGATGAGAAACCACTTCAATGCTCAGAGTGTGGAAAGACATTCAGGGGGAGTGGCAATCTTCAACGGCATCAGAGAACTCACACAGGGGAGAAACCTTTTGAATGCTCAGACTGTGGAAAGAGATTCAGTGGGAGTGGCGCTCTTCAATACCATCAAAGAATCCACACTGATGAGAAACCACTTCAATGCTCAGAGTGTGGAAAGACATTCAGGGGGAGTGGCAATCTTCAACGGCATCAGAGAACTCACACAGGGGAGAAACCGCATGAATGCTTAGAGTGTGGAAAGAGATTTAGTGGGAGTGGCAGTCTTCAGTGGCATCTTAGAACTCACACAGGGGAGAAGCCGTATGGATGCTCAGAGTGTGGAAAGACATTCAGGGGGAGTGGCAATCTTCAACGGCATCAGAGAACGCACACAGGGGAGAAACCGCATGAATGCTTAGAGTGTGGAAAGAGATTCAGTCAGAGTGGCGCTCTTCAATACCATCAGAGAACCCACACAGGTGAGAAGCCGCATGGATGCTCAGAGTGTGGAAAGACATTCAGGGGGAGTGGCAATCTTCAACGGCATCAGAGAACGCACACAGGGGAGAAACCGCATGAATGCTTAGAGTGTGGAAAGAGATTCAGTCAGAGTGGCGCTCTTCAATACCATCAGAGAACCCACACAGGTGAGAAGCCGCATGGATGCTCAGAGTGTGGAAAGACATTCAGGGGGAGTGGCAATCTTCAACGGCATCAGAGAACGCACACAGGGGAGAAACCGCATGAATGCTTAGAGTGTGGAAAGAGATTCAGTCAGAGTGGCGCTCTTCAATACCATCAGAGAACCCACACAGGTGAGAAGCCGCATGGATGCTCAGAGTGTGGAAAGAGATTCAGTCAACATGGCCATCTTCAAAAGCATCAGAGAACTCACACAGGGGAGAAACCTTTTGAATGCTCACGCATCAGAGAACCCACACAGGAGAAAGCTTTTGAATGCTAAAGTGTGGAAGGAGATTTACTGTGAAGGGCAATCTTCAAATTCACCTAAGAACTCACATAGAGGAGAAATCTTTTGAGTTCTCAGAGTGTGGAAAGAGATTCAGTCGAAGCGACCATTTTCTTTCTTTTCTTTTTATTTGGCCCCCCGAAGGGGATTTTTTAATTGCATTTTTATATGGGCTACAAAACTACAATGAAAAAAAGGGAGGGGTACTACATTTAAGGAGAAAGAAAAGATAACCACTACTGACTAAAAACCCAAGAGAGGAGATCCTCAAATTGCTTACAAACAATGCCATCTCTTAAAACGCTACATTTTATGAACTTAGTCAGACTTGCTTTTATACCTTTAAATCTTAAATTTAATTGTTGTGAAAAGACCCCTCAGCATCTCAATATTAAAAACATTATTATCAAAGACACAATTCAGAGTCCTTCAATTCTTATTTTTTTCCTTATCTTCTCTTCTGCTGTTTATAAGGGCTTTTAGGAGCCGCTGCCCCCTTCTCAGACAGAGAGTCCTCTCCAGAAGACCCCGAGTCCAGCTCACCACTGGACTTACTGTCCTTTTCCTCTTTATCCCTCTCCTCTGGCTCACCCAGCTGGACTCTCAGAAGATCCTGAGCTTTGGAAACAGAGTCAGTCTTTTCTTCTTTATCCTGAAGTTTGAAGGTTACGCCCTCTGGATATAACCACCTGTAACTGATTGCATTGGTTTGAAGAAAAAGAATTAAATCTTTGTATTTCTTTCTCTGTTGTCTTAGTTCAAATGGGATATCTTTCAGAATTCGAATGGTACTGTCCCCAATTTTCAAGAGTGTCCCCGCCGTCGCTCTTAGGATACAATCCCTCACGTGTCTCTTCGAGAATCTCATTACAATTTCTCCAGGCAGATTATTCTTCTTTATGTATATAGAGTAGGCCCTGTAGACCACATCTATTTCGCTCATAAGATGAAGTGACCATTTTCAATGGCATCACAGAACCCACACAGGGGAGAAATCTGTTGAATGCTGAGTGTGTGGAAACAGATTCAGGTTAAGTGGCAGTCTTAGGCAGCATCTGACAACCCACAGAGGCGTCTCTTTCCTTTCCCTATTGCTGAGCCTGCTGCTCTACTTCCAGACAGTGGACCTGCAAGCCCGGGTGGTGCATTTGGAGGCGGACGGATCCACACCGTTCCCTGCTTGGCTCTCCACAGACCAAATGGAGATGGCTATTTTGGGAATGGTGGACCAAATGCTGGCTGAGGTCGGTGCTCTTTCGTTTTCACCATATGCTCGTTGACCTCTTGCTTTCCTCCTGCAAAGCCAGGTTCCCCGTGGAAATTGGCTCTCCTAAGCAAAGGATAGATATCTGGAGTCGTCTCTGGGGTGGCCAAACGCATTATAGGACATCTCTCTGGTCTTCTTCTTTTAGACAGTTCGCTTTAAGGGTAGAGTTGCTGTTTCAGAGACGAGTCTGTATGTCAACAACAAGTAGATAAACTAGAGAAAACTATAGTGACTTCAAGCACCGTTTTGTATGTAAGCATCCTGATGCCAGCCTTACCTCCCTGGACATCAGCTAAATGAGATTTCTGTCTCAGTTGCAGGGGCGAGTCAGATCCTTTACATCTTTATTTACTTGCGTGTTTTTCATAGTAGTTCGGTAGTAAGTGGTAGTGCGCGGATTGATAGGAGGGGGACAACCGGAAGTAGTGTGGGGCGTCATTTGGAAGGAATGACTCTTTGGGAGATAGATAACATGAGGACTTGTTTGCACAGAAACAAAATATGGTGCTTCCGTCATGGCAGGTAATGGGAAAAGAGGATCAGGCAAGGGTTGCAGGGCATCTTGATTCCTCTTTGTTCACTGCAAAGTGTAGGAGAAACTGGCCAAAGTTACTTCAGCCCAAGTTGTTTTTTTCCCATAGATGCTATGGGGGGGGGGATTATGGCAAAACACTGTGTTGGCAAGGATGTGTGAAAAAGAAAAGCAAACCTAACACAGCTGAGACCCCCCTGTCAAGTGATGCACATGACATTCGAGAGGCTGTTTACTGATGGGTGTGCAGCTCGTGCTTACTGTCCTTGATCTATAGACATGAAAGCCTGACATATGATGTTGAATTGTTGATATTTGCATGGAAGATCATTCTTGCCTATAAAAATGTGAGTAGTCTGGTCCTATGTGTGTTGACTCAGAAGTAAGTTCTACTGAGTTCAATTGTGGTTTATTCCCAAATAAAGGAAAACCGAGCTGCTGAGTGAATTTCATTTGATGTTTACTGGCATTGATGACTTAGATTGGTGCCGAGGCTCAAAATAAACATTCTCTGGTCCCAAGTAAGGTTCTTTTCTTAAACAGATTCCTAGTTTTGCTCATTAACTTTGTGGAAAGCCTGGGGAGGTAAGTGCTGCCAAAGTAGTAGTCGCTTTCCATGTAATTAATTTGTTTGCTGCGTCTCACACAGTCTTAACTGGAGTCATACATCAGACCAGCTCAAAACTGTATGAGGGGCGACTTTCTTTGTCCCTTTAAAACTGCTGTTCTAGAGACGAGGGAACATTCTGATCCTGAGAGCTACCGCATCAGCTCGTAATTGGATGGGTTGGGGGCTACTGACAGTGTGGTGTAGTGGTCAGAGTGTAGGTGTAGGATCTAGAAGTTGTTGTTGTTCAGTCGCACAGTCGAGTCCAGCTCTTCGTGACCCCATGGACCAGATCCTGCCAGGCCCTCCTGTCTTCCGCCGTCCTCTGAAGTTTGCTCAATTTCATGTCGTTGCATCTATGACACTGTCCAACCATCTCATCCTTTGCCGGCCCCGTCTTCTTTGACCTTCAATCTTTCCCACCATCAGGGTCTTCTCCAGTGAGTGCTCCCTTCTCATTGGGTGGCCAAAGTCTTTGAGCTTCAGTTTCATTAGCTGGCCTTCCAGGGAACAGTCAGGGTTGATTTCTTTTAGGATTGACTGATTTGATCTTCTTGCAGTCCAAGGGTCTAGAAGACCCAAGTTCAAATCCCCATACAATCTCTTTCTCATCCAGGTCTACCTCACAGGGTTGTTGTTGTGAGGACAAAAATGGAGGAGAAGAGAGCAAACACCCTGAAATCCTTGGGGGAAGGATGGGATAAATATATTCTGAATACCTAAATACTCCAGCACAAGAACAGAAAACATGGGGCTGTGCTGTCGATTCAACCATTATGCACCAGCATCACAGGTAAATGCGCTGGCACAAATCTTTAGGATTTTGAGTGAGAATAAGCATCAGCAAAGAGCAAGCTGCATACCAGTGCATTTGTGAGGTGCCACTGGGAACCTGGTTGCGGTGCAATCCTGTGCAGAGTTACTCCAGTCTGAAATCAATGGGCATAGATTGGAGTAACTCTGCATAGGACTTCACTCTGAGACTGACAAAGTGGGATTCTTATGCTGCCCGTTCCTGGATATTCTCACTGCTGTATGCCAGCTGCTTGTCTCTTGCCTTGCTTAAGCCCATGCATGACTTTTTGCCCGGGATGCTTTATGACGCTTTAATTGAGATCTTTAATGACACAAGTCTACAAAAATCATCCACAAGTGATTCTCGAGTTGAAGTTAAGGCTCTTGCTGATGCAATTAGTAAGTTCAGGTTTGTGGCATCCCTTGTTACATGGTACGGCATCCTTTTTAAAATTAATCTGAGAAGCAAGCTACTACAAAATAAGGAAGCTGATTTAAATTTAGCTACAAGACAACTACATGTCACCACGAACTACCTTGTGGGCTGTAGGTGTGATGAGGTTTTTGAACCAGTTTTGGCAGATGGTACTGCGATTGCAAAAGAGCTAGAAACACTACCAAACTTTGAGATAGAACAAAGACAAAGGAGAAAGAAAAAGCAGTTTGAGTCTGAGGCCCCAGAAGAGGCACCACAAGATCCAAAGCAAACATTCAAAGTGAATTAGATGGGGTCCTACAATCAGCGGAAGAGAGTTTCGAACAACAACAACACTATAATTCCCTCTTTGGCTTCCTGTGTGATATATACAGTATTAACAAACAATGCACTGAAGATGTATGTAAGGCCTGCAAGAATTTGGAACAAGCATTAATGCACGATGGAAACAAAGATATTGATGCTCAAGATCTGTGTTGTGAACTGCAAGCAGTAGCTCGAAGACTTCCAAAGTCTGTGCCACCAGGCTTTCGGTTTTGGCGAATCACGGGCGCGTTTCATTGCGCTCTGATGAACGCAACCTGTGACCGTAGCAGCTGGGAGGGGTACTGGATGATTCCAGTCCCCCCAGGGCCCTTGCAGGGGGCCTGTAGCCTGGGGTGTGAGAGATGCCGCTCCCGAGGCCATGGCCGAGGGATTGGGGCTCCTCTTTGCCCCATCAGGTCCTACCGTTGTGAAACCAGCAATGGTGACAGAAACGCACACTGGGACAGGCGAACAGGAGATCAAGCGCTGTAATGGTCTCCCTACCTTACTGAAGCAAGCTGCTGATGAAGAGTGAGTCCATATGCTTTTAATCCAGACAAAAATCTAAGCAGACAGCTTCCCCCAACCCCTTAAATTCAAAAGCGGAGGGAATTGAGCTGGTCTCATCCCAGGAGGAAAAAGCAGCTACTGTAAGCAGTGGAGGGGGGGAAGCTGATTGAAAAGCATTGTTTAGCACAAATAGAGTGCTGACTGGTTAAAAAGCGTGATTGAATAAACCTACAGAGACTTTTGAGCTTTCTCTTAATGTAAACAATCCTGCATCGGACTGAAAAAATGGCGCCAAAAGTAAGACCTTCTCCTTCATGAACTGCCAGCTCAACAGCATTGGCTTCCAAACAGGAAGTAACCATAGACTTTCCAAGCATGTTAACCGCTGCACTGTGCCCTCTACTGAACCAGATGACACATC